CTGACTCACTACACAAACAGCGTGTTGGGTTTTCTTTGTCTTTGCTTTGTTTTGAATGTGGGCCCTCCTCACCAGCTCCACAGCCCTCCCTGCACAGCTCCAAGGGCGCCCTCCCAGCGAGAGCGCTGACAAAGCGCTCAACAGCTTCTCTGGGATTTTCGGCTCACTTGTTCTGCCCCAGCCAGATCAGGGCCTCCCGAATGGTCTCCCATGGAAGGGAAGTTGGGGGGACATTGCTTTTCACTTCGGGGAACTCAAGCCCAGAGACAGGCAGTGACTTGTCCAAACTCACACAGCAAAATACCAGTCGAAGATAAGGACCTGGGTTTTCTGATCTACAAGGCCGCCGTCTCTGAGACACCCTCACTCCCCCAGCTCTACAACTGAAAGCAGGCCCATTCTCTCCATGCATCCGGAGCACGTGTCGGTCGGGACTGTGGCCCGAGTGGTGTTTGCGTGCCCTGGATTGAGTCTTTGGGCTGAGTGTGTGCCGTGTCCACTGCTCACGTCCTTAGCGCATGGATAGCGGTTTCTACCCTCAGTTGCCCACTGGCCAGGCAGATTCACCCTCCAGCAGGCAAGAGCTGGAGAGCCCAGGGAGAAGTCAGCCTTCACCCTCAGGCTCTGTAAGCAGATCCTGGCTTGGACCCTGGGTCTTGTCCCCCTCCCTTCTGCCCCCAGGCCCGCCCTCCTAGGGTCATTTCCAGAACACCCTCAAGGGATCCCTGCCCTGAGTGCTCTCCCTACCTACTGGATCTCACCGCCCCTTTCAGGATCCCTGTGATAAGATTCCAGCACCTGCCCATCATCTATGAAGCACCTGCTAGGCGCCAGGTGTGGTGCCAAGCATTTTATATAGGCATAATCTCATGGAATCCAGAGACCATCACCTGCAGGGGGCGGGGAGTGGAAACCTCACGGTTACAGGTGACGCAGCGGGGGCTCAGGGAAGGAAAGGCGCCAGCCAGGGCTGGGCGTGGGTGGCGGGACACCAGCGCACAGGCTCCCGGAACAGTGTGGGTCACTCTGGAGCCGCTCAGTCCTCCAGCGGCTGCACCTGATGCCTGCAGGAGTGGCAGAGGCCAGGCAAGTGGCCAGTTGCGTTCCCTAATTCTGAGCCCCGGTCTTGCAGGAGTGGGGAACCTCCGGCGGCTGCGCGCAGGATAAGGCCCCCCAAATCACTGGGTCTGGCTCTGCCAAGGCATCCACAGGCAGGACTGGAAATTCCATAAATCCACAGCAGGCTCAATTTTAAGACGATCATGTCGTATGCCCTGCGAACGATGTTATAAATATCCCAATGGCCCTTGGCAGAAAAAAGGTTTCCAACCTTGTATGGCTGCTGCTAAGCCAGGAGCCGCGGGTAACAGCTGTCCAGGGGGCTGCCCCGACGCGGTCAGCCTGGAACTGAGCCCGGTCCCCGCCGCTGCCTCCGCCCAGTGCTCCCGGGGCTGCGCTCCCTGCGCCCGGGTTTCAGCGCGGACCTCTGTGCGCATCGGAGCTGGTACCCCTTCCTCAGGCCCCGAGGTCCCAGCACCCCTAGCCTCTCCGGAGTTGCTTCTCCCCAGGGTCTTGGCCCCCTCGGCTTCTGTGCTAAGTCCCAGGTCCCTCTGTGCTCCCGGGCCGGGGCACTTTCGGTGGCCCACAGCCCCAGCCACAGCGCCCCCTCGCGCCCCGCCGAGCTGCACCTGGGAGCAGGGACACGCGCGTACCTTGCTGTCGGGCCGCACCGGGCCCACGCGCAGCAGCAACAGCGGCGGCAGCAGGAGCAGGACCAGCGGCCGGGGCGGGAGGGCAGCCGCTGCCATGGCGCCTGGGACACGGCGGGCACCAGCGACCGAGCGCGGACACCGGGAAGGGCGAGCCGCTGTGCGAGCCGCGCGCCGCTGCCCGCTCTGCGCGCCCCCAGCTCCCCGCCCTGAACCCCTTCGGCGCCGCTGGGGGCGGAGCTACGGCGGAGGGGGCGCCCCGCCCCGCGGGGATCCCGCGGGGCCTCCCTTCAGTGGGGCGGCTCTGCTGAGGGCTTCCCGGCCGGGGCTCAAAAAAGAAAAAGAAAAAGAAAAAAGAAAAAAGAAAAAAAACGGGGAGGGGGGAAGCTTGGTCGGGGCCCACGGGAGCCGCGGGACCAGAAGAGGGGCGCGGGTTCGCCTCGCAGACCCTGGACGCGCCCCTGCGGCCGCTCCCAGGGGGCTAGCTGGCGCATCTGTGAAGTGGAGAAAATGGTTTCGCAGTGGCTGCGAAGCGCGAGCGAGCGGCGTTTGCAGGACAGGCGCACGCTGGCGCGCGGCGAGCTCCGCCACTCCCCTCCCCGGGCCCACGTGCGCTCCAGCCCTGCTCGCCCGCGTCCGCCTTCCCGCACTTCTACCCCCCACCCCGACCCCCTGGGATCCCTCCCGCCGCTCCCAACCACATCTCAGTGGTCCCTACTCCAATCACTCGGGGCGCGCCTCATGCCTCCCTAAGCGAATCTCTAAAGCACCGGGCCCGGCCGCCCCCCGCGGCTCGCCACGGGCGTCTCCGGCCTCACTACTCCACGGGTAACCGCACCCGAGGCAGCGCCGCCCTTGTCCCCCCTCCCTTCTCGGATCCTCCTGTCCGGGGTCCCTCTGGCCTGTCCTGGTGTTTCTCCCAGGCGTCCTCCTGCGCAGCCCTGGGGTCGGACCCCTGCTTCATCCTCTCCACCGGCCGCTGTCGTGACTTCTCCCCCAAGACTTCTTACCTGTGCGTCTCGACCCGGCCTGGCGAACCCACCCCCACTCCTGCCTTACCTCTGACCTCTAGCACTGCCCCCCCACCCCCGCCGCCAGGAGCCGCACCTCCCTCCCAGCCTTCCCCTCCCCTGCCTTGTCTTCGTCGACTTGCCAGCTAATTGGAACTAGCTGATTTGTTGTGTGTGCCCTGGGGTGCGGCATACCTTCCCGGGTGGAGAGAAACCAGGCCACCAGTGGATTTGTTAGTAATGCAGATTCTCAGGCCCCTCCAGCGACTACAGACTCTGAAACTCTGGGGGCTGGGGCCCAGCGGCCTGTGTGTTTTAGCAAGCCCTCCAGATGATGTCAGCTTTGGAAGCCGCTGACCTAGCACAAGCTCTGGTCCTGCATAACTCAGCTGAATTTTAAGGGACCACGGGTGGGCTGGCGCCGCGGTGCAGCTGGCTACCCCAGCACCTGTGATGCTGGCTTCCCTTGTGAGCACCGCTTTGAGTCCCAGCTGTTCACCTCCCACCCAGCTCCCTGCTAATGTGTCTTCTCCCTGCGGAAGACGCCCCCAGAGCTTGGGCTTCTGCCACCCTTGTGGGAGACCCAGATGGCGCTCCCAGTTCTGGCTTCCTCCTGGTCCGGTCTCGGCTGTGGTGGCCATCTGGGGAGTGAACCAGTGGATGGAAGGTCTCTCTCTTGCTCTAACTCTGCCTTTCAAATAAATCTTTTTTTTTTTTTTTAAATCACGTGTGTTGTCTTTGTTCAGTACAAATAAGCTTCTTTCCTAAGTAGAGATCCCAAGAGGCGCCAAAACCAGAACTATATTGGCATAAAAAAATAAACATTGTATTCTCCTGTACCCAGACTGCCTCTGCAGGGACACAGTAAACAAGTAGAGTGGGCACTTCTCTCTAAGGCGGGGATCCTGCTGGCAGGAAGTGAAACAAGGATGTTCATTGAATACTTTTGCACTTTGTGGGTTTTGTAACATGTGTGCTATATTTTAAAGAAAACAGACAAAATGCACTCAAAACAAACGGAGCCAGGCAGGGGGTTCCTGTCCCAGCCTTCTCCGGGATGCAGCCTTGGAAGAGCAAGGCTGCAGTCACCAGAGGAATGCTGCCCCCTGCTGGCTGCTGCCCCACACGACCCCATGGTCTTTGGGGGCCCACTCCCCACCCTCCTGCCTGCCCCTCTGCCTTGTTCAGTGGGCTCCAGGTACCACAGAGTCCCTCAGTTCCTCGGTACTGCCACACCCCGATGGCACCTCGCACCTTTATAGGTGTTCTCTGCCCTAGCCTCCACGTGCAGTTGTGGGTTTGTGTGATTAATTACTGTGCTGCCTGCAACACAGGGCAGGACTCCCCTTACCCCTGGCCCAAGTGGAGTCGGCTGCTCCACTTCTGATCCAGCTCTCTGCTATGGCCTGGGAAAGCAGTAGAAGATGACCTAAGTCTTTGGGCCCCTACACCCATGTGGGAGACCAGGAACAAGCTCCTGGCTCCTGGCTTTGGATCGGCACAGCTCCAGCCGTTTCGGCCATCTAGGGAGTGACACAGTGGATGGAAGACCTCTCTCTGCCTCTGCCTCTCTGTAACTCTGCCTTTCAAATAAATAAATCTTTTAAACAAAGATTTTTTTTTTGCTTATCTTTCAAAGTCAGAGATCTTCCATCTGCTGATTCACTCCCCAGATGGCTACAACGGCCACAGGTGGGGATGGGCCAGGCCAAAGTCAGGAGCTTCATCTGGGTCTCCCATGTAGGTGGCAGGGGTCCAAGCACTTGGGCCATCTTTCGCTGCTTTTCCAGGCCATTAGCAGTGAGCTGGGTTGGAAGTGGAGCAGCTGGGACTTGAACTGGTGCCATATAGCATACAAGTGTTGCAGGTAGTGGCTTTATCTGCTACGCCACAGCGACTGTCTCCTCCTTTGTAAACTGGGTGGGTGGGTGGGTGAGCACGGACTTCTCAGGGGTGCTGGGAGAAACACAGACAAGGCCCCACGGTAGGTGCTGGACTCACAGTGGGCGGCCGCCACCCGGACAGGGGCTGGGCTCTCAGGTCATCACTTCTCTTGCTTTTCTGTCCTGTGGCCTTTGACATTTTCCAGAAGCATTTTTCAGAAGGCAAGATAAGTGACAAGCCCCATTGATTAGGCCAGGCCGTAAATCAATTGCTTTGTGCCCAATATCTCACTTGATTTTGGTAACATCCCTGTGAGGAGGCAATCAGCTGCCAGCCTTGCTTTCTTTGAAGCTGGCCCGCTGAGGCTCGGAAGCAACATGCCAAGGCCACACTGATATTAACAGAAAAACCAGATGCTTTTATTCATTTTTAAAATCAAGATGGAAGGCCGGCGCTGCGGCTCACTAGGCTAATCCTCCGCCTAGTGGCGCCGGCACACCCGGTTCTAGTCCCGGTCGGGGCGCCGGATTCTGTCCCGGTTGCCCCTCTTCCAGGCCAGCTCTCTGCTGTGGCCAGGGAGTGCAGTGGAGGATGGCCCAGGTGCTTGGGCCCTGCACCCATGGGAGACCAGGATAAGCGCCTGGCTCCTGGCTCCTGCCATCGGATCAGCGCGGTGCGCCGGCCGCAGCGCGCCGGCCGCTGGAGGGTGAACCAACGGCAAAAGGAAGACCTTTCTCTCTGTCTCTCTCTCTCACTGTCCACTCTGCCTGTCAAAAAAAAAAAAAAAAAATCAAGATGGAGTCTTTAAAAGAAATGTATTTATTTGAGAGGTAGAGTTACAGAGAGAGGGAAAGACAGGAAAGCCTCCCATCAGCTGATTCACTCCCAGATGGCCACAATGGCTGGAGCTGTGCCGATCTGAAGCCAGGAGCCAGGAGCTTCTTCAGGGTCTCCCATGTGGGTGCAGGGCCCCAAAGACTTGGGCCATCTTCTACTGCTTTCCCAGGGCATAGCAGAGAGCGGGATTGGAAGTGGAGCAGACAGGACTCGAACCAGCGCCCGTGTGGGATGCTGGCACCCCCCCAGGTGGAAGCTTAACTTACTGTGCCACAGCGCCAGCCCCTTATTCATTCCTTCAGGGCCAGCGAGTCATTACCTGGAGTGAGCAAGCCCTGAAGGGATTCACTCGCTGGGGGCATCTGGGAAGGCTTCCAGGAGGAAGTGCCCGTGGAGCTAGAACTGGAGGATCCACGGCTGCTTCCAGAAGCTGATGCTGGACGTGGCTTATCCCCGAGGGCTGGCGTGGACTCTGTGCCCACCAGGCAAGCCTCCAGCTGCCCCAAACTTCTGATGTGCCCCTTAGCCCCGGACTGAACCTCCGGGGTTAGAAAATGTCCTACCACCAGCAGCCGATGATGGGAAGAGAAATTCTGGCCCCGGGAGGGCCACGTGGTCCTGACATGGTTCTAGAACCCAGAGCTGAGGGAGTGGCCCAGAGGCTCCATTGCCTTGTCCCCAGCGCTAGGGGCTTGCCTCCCCTTGCCACCAGAGGCAGCCCCCTGCCCTTGGGGGAGCTGCTGGGTCTCTGTGGCTTGGGAACGGTGGCGGTGGGCAATCCCTGCGGGGTCCATTCTGAGCCACGCAGGACCCAGAAGGCACCCAGCTGGCCCTCCGTGGGTGGTGTTAAGGAGGTGACCCGGAAGGAAGACCTGAGCAGGACTGTGAAAGCCGGGCAAAGCAGTGCCCTGGGCTCGAGGAAGCCGTGGGTTCACGCTCAGGTGCCCGATGCCTGCGGCGGGAATGCCCAGCACTCCAGATCGGGGGTGAGGGCCAGGCGACAGCGTCAGCCGTCCATCCATGGGAACAGCCAGTGGCAGGCACACACTGAGGACGAAGCGCAGGGTCGCCAGTGTGGGGAGGGAACAGCCAGGCCCAAGGCTGCCAACCCTCCAGAGGAGCGGCGAGGGAGGGGGCGTGTGTGGCAAGGCAGGTGGGCAGGGGTCGGGCCAGGCAGGGATGTGATTGCGAGGACGAGGGCTTCAAACCAAGCAAGGAACGACCAAGGGGCCAAAGGGGATGGGGCCGGGGGTGGGGTGGGGGAGGGAAGCCGCGGGTTAACCCTGCAGAGTAGCACCGGCAAAGCCCCAGCTTGCTGGGTCTCTATCTTCAAGCCGGCCAGGTAGGGCCTGGGCTCCGGGCAGCCCAGAGTCTTTCCCGGACGGAGGAGATAAGCCCGCGCCCCGGGGCGCTCAGAGGCCGGTGGCCGCGCGCCCCCTGGTGGCCGCAGCGAGTGGACGCCGCGGAGTCCGGCCTAATGCGGGGTTCTGCTTCGGGAAACTGAGGGCGGGATAGGGGTTCGGCTCTCCCAAGGGGACCCTGTCCCCCTCCCAGCCTCATTTTACCGTTAGGGAGGTACACTGAGTCGGGGAAGGAGAACTGGGCCGGGTAAAGGGCTGCTCTTCAACGGCACGGGGCTAACTGCTTGTTCAAGACACCTGGGGTCGAGAGCCACAAGGTTTCTATAATGGCAGCGACGGCCGCGAGCTGGTCGTCCATCTGTTCTACGGGCAGGGGGAAAATGAAAGAAGAGGAAGGGAAACCGCAGTCTTTCCCGCCCACCCGGAGGTAAGAGGCTTTAAACACTACCCCGGAAAGCACAGTTGTATAGAATCCATTTGCATACGAACGCAGTCACCTCGAGTTAAACTCCCGTCCTTTAATCTCCGGTCCAATTTGTCCCGCGGCCGCGGAGGAAGGCCCTGGAGAATACCTCCAAGCCCCGCCCCTCGACCCCGCCCACAGGGCTGGGCTTCGTTGCACGTGCTCAGCCGGCTCCTTAGCGATCCGCCTCCTTGGAAAGACTCATTATTGGGGCGGGGGAATCTGAAGAGTCTTGGGGCTATTTAACCACGGGGAAAAATTGCAATAAAAAGAGCCCATGACGTAGCTACTTATTCAGCAACTTTCAGAAGTTTTATCAGGGTTTTTGAGGACGACGGGCCTTGACATTCCCGTTCAGAGCTCTGATTTTTGCTCTCACCCCTTCAGATGGTAGAGTCCCGCGTGGCCAGCCTCGCTAGGCGGACTCCATTTCCCAGAATGCCTCGCAGGACTGTGCGTGGCAACGGCGCGTGACGTCAGGGGAGGGAGCTGGCCAGTGCTGAGGGGGCGCGGCGCTGAGGGGCGCGGAGCCGGACGGCTCGGGGCCCAGAGAGCGCCGCGGCCGGCAGCCCGCCGGCCCCTGACAGCCCCCACCTCCCCGGCGGACGATTCCGACGACGAGGGCGCGGGTCATGGCGGAGCAGCGAACTCAGCGCGGGTCCTGAGCACCACCGCATGGAGCGGGACGAACGGCCGCCTAGCGGAGGGGGAGGCGGCGGGGGCTCGGCGGGGTTCCTGGAGCCGCCCGCCGCGCTCCCTCCGCCGCCGCGCAACGGTGGGTGAGGGGCTTGCCGACCCCGGGCCGACCGAGAACCAGCCTCTGTCCCTTCCCCGGGGGACCCCCTTCTTTCCGCCGACTCGCGCTCCGGGAAGCCGGCGCGGACCCTCCCTCTCCTCTCCGGTCGCCCTCCCTCCTCCGGTCCCCTCCGCGCAAGACCCCTTCCCCGGCCTGGTTTCCGCAGCACCGGGCTTCGTTTCCCCCTCCCCCTGTCCCCTCGGCCCTGGCCTCGCCTGCGTCCGCCCCCTCCGCCCCGACCGTCGCCTTCTCTCCCTGCGGGTCCCCCCTCCGCTCCGGTCCCCTCGGCGCGGATCCCGCCTCGCGGCCCGTCAGTGGGAGCATCCCCTCCCTCCCCACGCGGGTCCCGCCTCGCCCGCGCCGGCCGGACGCCGCCCCCTGGAACCCCTGACCCTCCTGGAGCCTGCGGACCCTTTGGTGGCGGGCTTTTTTTTTTTTTTCTCTACCCCCACCCCCCACCCCGGGACCCTTTGGTGGCGGCTCCTGCGCGCCCGCCTCACCTTCGCCGCCCCCGCAGCGGTTCGGACGATTTTCGGCCGGCCGGCCGGCCGGCCGCGGGACACCTGCCTCTCCCCGGCGCCTGCCGGCCGGTCCCGGTCCGCGCTGGCCCAGCCCCAGCTCGGCGCGGCCGCGGCCCCGGCCCCTGGGCGCCGGGGATTCCTCACCTGGCCGGGCCCTCGGGTTCCCCGGGGCTCCCTCGCTCCTCGCCCCCAGCCGGGTGTTTTATTTGTATCTGTTTGATATTTCCCCCCTCGGTGTTCGCCGCGGAATGTTTTTATTGGTAATGTGTAAGGAGCTTTTGTGAGGTCGTAAAAGGTGAACTTTTGAACTTGGAAAGCGCCCTGGAGCAATTAGCGCAGGCGATAGCCCCGGGAGGCGTGCATTACAAAGGGTGCCCGGACCGGCCGGCAAACGCTCCGGCAGCAAACTCGATTTATTTATTTATTTGCCCTGCCTTCCACCTTTCACATCTCCTCATTTCCGAATAAAGGGCAGGCTCCTCCCCCCTCTGCGCCATAAACTCGCAGTTCTCTCTGAGATCTGGGACCGAACAGGGTCTAACAAGGAACAGATTTCAGATTGAATGCGAACGCCCGGGACAGTTAGGAGGCACTAAAATTAATTGCTTCGGCCAGAAGTTCTCAATCCGGACAGGGACCTGGCAGGTGTGGGCCGCCCAGGTGCTCGGCTGCCAGTGAGCGAGCCGCGGGGCGGGTGGGGGGAGATCCGCGCCTTCGCGGGTTCACCGCTCGGGAAGCATCAGCCGAGCAGTTCCGAAGCTCCGCCAGTTTGGGGGAAAAGCGCGTTTGGAAGAGAGCCCGGTCAACTTCTCTGCACGCTGCTGGTCGAATAGCGAGAGGTGGTCGTGGCGCCGCGACGGGAGCCGGCCAGGTGGCCGGCCGGCCAGCGAGGGCTCTTTGGAGACTGATCCCTGAATGTGGACACGTTTGAGATCGGCGAAATCCCCTGTCACAGCGGAGGAGGGTGGAAGAGGACAGTGTCATGGGAGCAAAGGGTTTCTTCAGTACTTTCGGCTTTTTGAGCTAGTTTGGTTTGTGGTTAATCTGTGAATGTTGTACATGCTAAACTCCAACTTGCCGTGCCGATTGCTGGTTTTTCGTGGAAGCTGCAGCGGTAGCTGGTACCCACACTACTGAGTGCACTTCCGTGATGCCTTTCCGCGGGAACACTTCCTGTGCCCACCTGTGCCTGATGCGGAGGACAGATTCCACGCAGATACTACTTGTAGTTCCACTTCTGGAATAATCTTGTTGTGAGGGAAGCCTAATAACTGTATTTGTTATTAATTATTCATGAGTACGTTTTAAAGAGCTCGATTTTAACTCTTAATCAGATTTCCCCTTCACAGTCTCATTTCCTCAATTGGTTGGAGTCCTTTAAAAGAATGTAATGGAGCAATCCATTTAGGCTAAGGTGGCTTTAATATTTTAACACCAGTGGAAGTTAGTGCTACGGATATTCGTTGTTGTTGTTGAAAACACAATGGGAACTTTGGGCAACCCGATAGGCTTCGAGTAAAGTACATAAAACGCTAGACTGTTCAGAGACATTTTATTTTTCAGTGGAGAAGTAGCATTGTGTCCCGCTTTGCAGTTTGCTTAATAGCGCTTAAGAATTTAACATGCTCACAGACTTGCCAAAAAAATAAATTTTTAAAATAGTTTGCCTTTGGAGTAGTGGACAAGTGGACACTTTTTTTCCCCTCCTAATTATTTTTTTCTTCAAAAATAGACTGCTTAAGTTCTAAGCAGAAAAAAAAACGAGTACTCTTTCATTATTTCTATTTTGTATGAAATATTTGGAGGAGATGGGAAGTCTTTAGGTCTATGCCATGAAGAAATGAACTGGAGGTGGGATTTTAGAAATGTTTTTGTGTCAGAAACACCACTGATGCTGAATTTACAGTCCTTTAATTCTTTTTTAACTTATTCTATCAGAGTTGCTTGCCTTTTGATGCATCGCCACCCTTCCAGGAATCCTTTGTGCTGACAGCACTATTTTCAGTTGTTGCTTGTAGGTTTTCATAACAAACATGAACTCATTTAGATGTAATAGAGGACTGCTCCCTTTTGGGATTTCAAAGCAAGATGAATGATTTGAGGAAGCATTTGCTGAATATTGTGTTTGGTTATTTTACTTTAAGAGACTGAAGGAGTAGGCTTTTAAATATTTAAAGCACAGCAAGGTTAAAAGCCATTATAAGTAATTAAAAACATATTTTATATAATTATACTTTAGAGGAAATGGGGAGTCTAGTATATAATATGATGCCATGACCATGCCATCTGTATTTTTATCACTGAAAGTAAATTAGCAGATATTCCCCAGGACAATATAACTTTTTAGTTCCGTGACTTAAACAATAGTCACCTCAGAATTTTCTGCTTTCATTAAAAATAGTGCATGTTGCAATACTGTTGTACCCTATAAGCACTGCACACAGTTTTTTTTTAAGTAGGTTCTGTGACCTCCAAAGAACACTGAGAGGCAACAGTAAACAAATTCATTGTTGATTTTCAGCAGCTGAGGTGGGAGCTGACATTTCTAGTCTTTCATGTGCAATCCACCAGATTCTGAACATTTCTGGTTCATCTAATCAAAATATCATGATGTGCTTCCTAATCTAGAACTCATTCTGAATTCTATAGCAAAAAACTGTGTGTGTACATCTGTGTTAGTATGGGAAGGGGAATTAGGTGGGGAACTAATTAAAGTTAACTGCTGATAAATTTCCAAAAATATGAACAAATCATTCAGATCAATATTTGTAATTTCTTGGTTTCTCATCTCCCACTCCCCTTTTCCTGGAGATGTAGGGCAAGGTAGAGAATGACTTTAGATTAAAATACCTAACTTCAGGATGTTGGAGGAAGGTGGATAGAAATGCCAACTGCTACTATAATATTGGTGAAGAAAGGTTCTTCCATTTTTCAGTGCTTATTCAAGTTGGCTTTAAAATTGCTAGCATGTTTTGGGGCCTGGAGCTGTGTTAGTTGCATGCTATGGTGAGACACATCACTTTGTTTTTCTGAGTGGGTAGATATTCAGTGGTTTGTGTTGAAAAAAATTGGTCTGTTCATGAATTGGGTCAGATGGCAGGGTCTGGCTTCAGAATTTTAAAAAGCCAGGATAAATCCTACATTAGGAGTCTTTCATTGTTAGCAAATTTACCTAGGTCTTGGAGACTTTGTCAGTTTTGCTTATGTTTTACTTTTGGGTGTAGCCAAGTTAAATGACACTTCCCTATTCAGTATTTTCTCTACGCATACAATTGAGTAGAAAGTTAAATCTGGGAAAATGCCTTTTAAGAATAAATTTTGTATTGTCGGTCAAACCTATTTCAAAGCTATTTTTTAAAAGTAGAACAGTAAAAGTGCCTTATTTGTGATAAATCAGATTCCAGTTTTCTTACATGTGAAAAAGGATCAGAGTCAGAAAAAGTCAAAGTTCTGTATCAGAAGATAAAAGAAGCTTGCATTTCAGTCAAGAAGAAAAGTGTCCCTGAAATAGTTTGAGACAGAAAGTATCTATCTCATATGCCTTCAGTGATCTAAAATACCACCTCTCTATTGCTTGGAAGGTATTTCCGAAACTAAGGAGTTGTCAAGGAAAACGTTTTCTTTCAAACTTTTGTATCCTGAAAGTCAACTTAAAAAAAAAAAAAGTTTTTCTGACTTAGGTAATTTCTTCAGGGCTTGTGGATCCCTTTGATTGATATCTGGGTTTCAGAAATACCAGAATCATTAAAAGTTGGCAAGAAAGAGATTTGGTACTGAGTGGGTAATTGTTTTTGAGTACTGAGCTTTCTAAAGCTGAAGTTTCAGATTTAGCTGAAGTTAATCTTATGTGTGAAAAAGTCTCTGGGTGTATCTTTGATATACAGTATTCCTAGACTCAAGCCCAGTCTTCTGTTTATTGCTATTGTTTTCCAGCATAGCTTCCCTTTAGGAAAAAAGATAAGGGTGTTAGACCATAAATAATGGAAAACAAGAAAAAAACCGTCGTGAGATGTCTAACCTGCTTTTCAGTATGGCTTAGCTGTAACTACAGAATGGAGAATAAAACATATCCTACCTTATTTCATGTTTCATTATTTATTGCCTGCTGTTAGACAGCAACCTTTCTCCAGCACCTTCTTCAGAAAACATTTCTTTTCTTTTTTTTTTTTTTTTTTTTTTTTTTTACTGGTTACAGTTATTTAAATAAGACTTTACTAGTGTAACCCGGTAATTCTAATTAACAGTGATTTAGTTTGGGAGCAGACCAGGATTTCCTCAGCTGGCTGCTGGGGCACTGAATTGCTTTTTTCCCCACCCCCAGCTGCACCAAATCTTTTGATCCCCAAGCTACAGTGGTTGTCATTTGAGAAAGCAAACCCAGAGAAAATAAGTTGTGAAAATAGCTTACTTTTGAGGCTTTATTTGCATTTTGGAATTTTTGTTCTTTAGAAAATTGTGAGAATAATTGAACTGTCACATTTTTATCCTGATAGAAGCAAGTGGGCCAGAATCTTAAGTAAAAATTTCTTGGATTTCCTCAGCAATATATTTTTTGCTTAAAAAAATGTCAGGGCCTATTTTAATATTCACAGTCACCATTTTGAAAGAAAAACCATCCTAATTTTAAATCCACAGAGGACATTCAAGTGTTTTTAATTTCTTTAGGAATGTATGGGGAAAATAAAAGCCTTTGTGTAATGGCGACATTTTCATTCAAGGTAGTGTGTGGTTCTTCATCAACATCAGACACTATAATAAGCTCAGAATGAGAGTAACAAATTCTTGTGTCATATACTAAATACATTCTGTAATTTGTTATATTAAGAATGAACTTTAAAAGGTATCTTCAAATGATGACGTCTTTGGATCCTGATTGCCAACTCTGCAACCTTCACTTTGTTTAGAAGGGAGAAAAGCTATTCAAGCAGAAACCACAGATGGCAGTAGAAGTATATTTTTCTATTTTCTCTACTGATTCTTGCATTTGAGTTGGGGTCAGTTCTGTGGGCACTGTTGATAAGTCAGCTGGCAGGTGTAATGTTTCCAAAACCAATCCCCTGGGCAGCAACACGTTGTGTATTCATGGAAACAAATCTGGGCATTTGATTTGAAGATAAACATCGTGGGTGGTTTGAAC